GAGCGTGCCGGGATGCGTGGCGCTAGCAGCTCCGAGTGGCCTCTGCCTCCGTCCTTGAAGTTTGCCTGGGAGATGTCCTTAACTTCGCTGCTCTTCGGCATGCTTGCTCCGAGAGTGTGAGGGACATCCCCCTTTAGCTCCCAAGCCTCCTCTGCTGGAAACTCTGGTCTGTCGCTGAGACCATCTGTTACATATTTTCCCTCTCCTGCTGTCTTCTTGTTGAAAATAAAAGATGAAAAGTCCCTTGCCATTTTTCTGTGTGCACCTCAGCTTCCTCTTTGTTATGCATTGTGTTTGTGTATGCGTATGCCTGTATTCCTCATTTTTCTCCCAACTTGCAGCTATCCTGTGAAGATATTGGGTTTTCAACCAAGCCTGTTTCTCCTTGGAGGGGTATAATTTTTTGTTTTCACAGGATGGATGCATAAATTGCACTATGACGTGGCACGGTGACATCAGCAAAGGCAGGGAAGGGGCTCACACTTCCTGTTTGCTTGTGCAAATCGACTGAAGTGGAAATGCATTCACAGCAGATTTTCCTCCTTTGGTGTAAGCCCTTGTCTTAATTTGAGGAGGAATCATGAGGAGGTTGTAATTGCCGGTATGGGCCTGAAAGAAGTTGGGGCAATTAAAACCTACTTAGTCCCCTCTTGGCCTCCACGGTCCCCAGAGTTAAAGGCAGAAAGTGCACGTCTTTTCCCCAGCCCTTGCTTAGGCAGGCCAGTGTGGGAACGGAGCCCAGGCAGCTGAGTGCTGCTGGGCACAGCTGGCCGGTAGTGGCTCCGGCGCCTCCCGGGAGGCACAGGCCCTGGCAGCTTGAGTGTGTGTGTGGTTGGCAATGCGATGTTTGCTTCCCTTCGTATTAAAGATTTTCACAACTTGCTGGTAACTTTCACTCACCCTGGGTATAAGCCCAGTTTTTGTCACAATGCTGTGGTATCTGCATACTTACAAGATGTACAAAAGTTTAAAATTTTTGGGTTGTAGGTGTGCAAAAATACATGTGAAAATGAATGTGTGAGGGACAATCAGCATTAAAGATACCCATGTTTCTTAATATGTTCTTCCTGTCAGACTAGAAGTAGCTGCCAAAATGATTCAGAAATTAGTCACTAGGTAGAATCCATATATATTTGCAGAAAAAGTCCCCTCCAGCTTATGATACATTGTTTGACACAATTGAAAAGGTACTAAAATGAACTTAATATTAAATGAAAGAAAATAGGTTTATTTACTCATAAATTTGTATGTCCTTAACAACACTTCAAAATACAGCTGTAATGTACTTCTGCCAGTCATTTAGTGATATCTCTACTTCTTTAGTATCAGTGAGACTTCTTGTGCAGTATGGTGCTACTCTCTTTCGCTAAGGATGTTGGAATATAGTGTCTTTTCCCAGCCCATTGTCCCATCCGTTACTCTAAGAAGCAGAAAAAAACCCCAACCCAGTAATTGTACTACCAGTATCTGCTGCCACTACTGATGTTACACATGCCTTCCTCCTGAAGGAAGGGCTCATGACATTTGGGTTTTTTTGACTGGCCACATGGGAAAGCAAAGTCAGTTGTGGGGTTCTTTACTTGCAGAAGTACCAGTAATGCAGAACTGTGAATGCACGAGGTGGCCCATCTTATGGTTATTAGTGACACTGAAGGCATTCCAAAATGGACTATGTACAATTCCAAAGTATGTGATAAACCTTAAATTATCTGTGTTCTCATAGCAAAGTTTGCTAGGTTAATAATTGCGAAAACGTGCCCTTTAACTCTATAGTAATGTCCATTTAAAGGTTAAGCAAGTAATGAAATATGCATGTTATGTGGAATGCAGTGTTTCTTAAGCAGTGTTACCTTCTACTGATATGGAATGTATCTGTAGAGAGTTACTTATATTTACTGAACTGTCTTCAGGAGAAGACATAGTCCTATTATATTGGTCTGATTGGTCACCAAGACAAGGTAATTCAGAGTGAAGGCTGACATTGTCACCCATAAGTTGCTGTCACACTACAGCAGCTGTTTCATTTTCATCAGAGAGGATTTGCAGTAATTCAAGAAGATAGAAAATAGCCCAAACTTATTTCACAGTTTACACAATGAAGAATTTTCTGGAGTAAATTTAGCTTTTTATGTGTTAGTTTATTTAATATTGCCTTAAGTGACAATTAAATAAAACAATACCAATAAAAGGGAAAGGAGCATGTGAGTGAATACCTTTGTGTTCATGGTAGAACTTTAATACAAAGTGCCTAGAACCTTCTTTTAGCTCATGAGAACATAATTTAACATTATTTTACTGTACAATCTGTATAGCTCATTGGAAATGTAAACTGTGAGTATGGAAGGCAACCACATTTCAAATGCTATGGTGTTTTAGGTGTTGGCAACATATTTTGTTGCTAAGTTTTGTCACCTGTGTCACTGTTAAAGTATCTACTGGATAATGTTTAACCCAGCATAAACTTGAGACATCTCTGAAGTACTTTTAGACTGAATTCTTTACCTGGATGAATTTTGGTAATTTTCCTTTAGATGCATACACTCAATGCATCTAGAAAATCTATGCAGGAAATATGTGCAATATATTTACAACCATTATGGAAAATTTTTAGGAAATAAAACATTTTAAAATAGCAAAAAATATTAATTACATTTTAGTTATTGAATTTTAGGACTTCTGCAGCATCCTCCCATGCCCTCAACTTAGTGTGATTTGGATGATTTGCATACAGATCTTGTACCTACACGATTGCTTAAAGTTGTAGGTTTTTCGGTAGATGGCACTCTTACCTATGAGTCAGTGCAATGTTAGTGCTGCAGCACGTTGGCATAGAGGGGATGAGGGAGAGCATTAATAGTAATCAATGTTTTTGATGAAGTGTATAATGCTGGTTTGTTAGTTACAGGGGCTTTTGCAAACATAGTACTTTTTGCAAATGACTACGTATTACCAGTTTTATTAATTTAGCTTAATTAACATCCCATTGCAGGTTAATTTGAGTTTAGTCTGCTGTATAATTTACCAAATATTAATAACTTATATATGTACTGCATTAATGCTGCTTAGGGCCAGGATGCAATTGTTTTATGAACTTATGAACAAGGGTCAGCGATTCCCTAGAAAGCTTACAGTCTCACATCTTTTCCATTTTGTTGGTTGAATGGCTGGTGGTCAAAAGTTCTGTTTGCAAACCAAGTGAAATTATTGTCATTGGCAGTATTTCAGAGCATGAAGAGATTTCTGTATATTACTGTTACAGATACTTCTGAGATACAAGACGTTCTACATGGTAGAATGTTATATGCAACAACTTTGATATATTTGTGATTAACAGCTATGTTTGAACTTAGCTGAACAGTGTGAAAGATAATGGAAACATGTGGAGGTAAAAATATATTTTAGACCTAACATCTTAAGTTGTGCTTGCAATGTTTTAGCTTCTCTGTCACATTTGTGTGACCTTATTGGCTTATAACATTGTCAGTGGTAACATTATGATACCTCATCAGATGTTCAGTAGTCATCACCCACAGCTTACTACATTTTTTTTTATTTATTTAAGGTTACCTTACCAAAATTTACGAATGTGATAGGATTGATGAAGAAGATAAGACAAATGGAGCTATTTGAATGTGTGCATACAAAAGTTTCGGGAAGTCTTGGAAAATTTTGTGTTTTGTATGCTGTTAAACTCCAGAATTCCAGGCATGAAAGTTTTTTAGTATCAATAGGAGGCAAAGGCAGTCTATTAGGCCATTATTGTAGAACATTAGCGATTACTGGGGGAAGGCTTGACAATTAACACTTAATTCTTAGTTTAATACTGGAAATTTGGAATATAGAATTGCAGAATCTGCCTCACAAACATACTGAAGTTTGGTCCAGGTTCACAAGTTGAAGTTTATTGTAATTTTTGTTATGTTTATTTCATTACAAATACAAACATATTTAAGCTCTTAAATTGCATATTCAATTATTAGATATAGGTGTCCCATAGATTTCTCACAGGTATAGTTTATTTGCTTTGGCAAGCAAAATAAGTCTGAAGGGGAGATAATTGCTTCTTTTTGTTGTGAATAAAAGGAAATATCACTGGTGCTTGTGACGTAAATTGCTTAAAACTACAGTTAGCCTTGATGTAATTGTGTCTTTTCTATATTGCATTGCAGAGATGGTGAACTGAGTTTGAGTAGATCAATGATCAATAGCTCTGATAAGATAGTTCGAAAGGGTGGCTCCTCAATCTTCCAGCATTCTGTAGAAGGTTGGAAAATCAATTCTTCTTTGGTACTGGAAATAAGGTGAGTGTCTTAAATAAAAACCAGTTCATTTCATATTACCTATAATTCTTTTTATTTCATATTGCCTATAATTCTTCTGGTCTGGAAAACAGTCATTTGATTTATGGTTTGCAGGTGGATGTTTCATAACTGTACATATTTAGGGTGCAATGTTAAATGAAACTAAATTATATTAGACTCCAAAGTCAAGTCATCCTTCATAAGAGTAAATAAAATCTTTTCATCTGGCTGTGTCAGACTCGTGCAGTCAGTATCTACATTATGCATGTCCACATTTGAGCTGGTTGTCTAGAACTCTATTGCAGTCAGTGGTGAGAAATTGGCACTTTTAGGACATGGTTTCTTCTCATCTTAAAGGTCTGAAATAGGACACATGGAAGTACCCTAAACATACCAGTTTTTCTGCCTTAACTGCAAAGGGAGCTTAGGCAGACAACTTAGATGTGGGAGTCAAGAGCTAGGATGTCAGGTGCTGTGAAACCAACCCTGTCTGTGGCTGGTCCAAGTCACAAGGTCAGGCATTGACAATACCTGTATCTTGGGAAGTTTTCTTTCCTCAAGTCAGAAAGGCCAAAAACAGGTTTAGGCTCATGCCAAGGGGGAAACAGTAGCAGTGTTCGACTTATAGTTCTAATGTGTCTTAGTACAGTGGATCTACTCACCTTGGGGAGAACAGAAAGCAGAAGCCTCTTAGTGTGTTGTATTGTCATCGTATCTTCCCTGTCTTAATCAGGAAGATGGCCAGTGAGAGAAGTGTATAGAGTGTGGCTGGGAGTGTTGAGGGCTGGGAGTGTTATATTCTGTGAAAAATGATAGAAAGTAACTATTTTTAGCAGCAATGATGTAGCAGAGTAGACTTGATTTTCTGAATGTTAAGATGTTGAATAGGAATTTGATCTAATTAAAATGTGGTTCTACGTCATTTCCCTTTTTTTTTTTTTTTTTTAATTAAAGGACAGTTTACAACACCCTTAAACAGGCAGTGTTTCCATGTACAAAAGCATGGCTTCTCTGTGGAACTTAGAGAGTTTTTTTAATGACTGCTGTTTTATTTCCTTACTTCTAAAACATGCAGAACATATAGGTAGCTCAGAAATGTACAAAGCTGTAGTAAAGGATTGATGTTCTGGAAGTCTTGTGGTACGATGGACATAGTGCAGCCCTACTGTGAAATCCAAG